ATTCACTATTCATCACTACTCACTACTCACTACTCACTACGCACTACGCACTACGCACTACTCAGTACTCACTACTCACTATTCACCAATCACTACTCAATACTCGCTACTCACTACTCACTACTCACTACGCACTACGCACCAGCCACAACTCACTACTCACTAATCACTACTCGCCACCCATTACTCACTACCCACTACTCACTACCCAGTACTCATTACTCCCTACTCCCTACTCAGTACCCACTACTCGCTACTCGCTACTCACTACTCACAACTCACTACTCGCCACTCACTACTAACTTATCAGTACACACGAATTACTCACTATTCACTATTCACTGCTCCTCACTCCCTACTCCCTACTCGCCACTCACTACCCACTACGCATACTCACTACTCACCATTACACACTACCCAGTACTCAGTACTCACTACGCACTAACTCACTACTCACTACTCACCACTCCCTACTCCCAACTCCGTACTCCCTACACGAGGGGGAGGGGGGTCCGACCCCCCCCCTCCTTTCCAGCGCCAAGGGGGAGAGGGGGGGGGGGTGCGGACCCCCCCCCTTCAAGGGAGGAAGGGGGGGGGGGTTTCGGGACCCCCCCACCCCCTTAAGGGGTGGAGGGGGGGGGGGGTCCGGACCCCCCCCCCCCCTTGAAGGAGGGAGGGGGGGGGGATTCTGGACCCCCCCCCCTTTAGTGTATTCAGGGAGATCCACTGGCGCACTTTCCGACTTTTGCAGCAGTGCGTCCTGTCGGGAAGGCCCCACCTGCCCGAAACGGGCGCCAAAAACACCCAAAGATCTACTCCATACGGGGGGGGGGCAGGGGAGGGGGGCGAGGGCCCGCGCCGATCAGCAAGACAATGAATAAGGGGGCAGGGGAGGGGGGCGAGGGCCCGCGCTGATTAGCAAGACAATGAACAAGAAGCACGACGACCTTCCCAGCTCTTCCGCCCCCCCCCCCCCCCCGTGTTTCCGTTGCGCGCTGCGCTCCTGCACGCCTGGCGCCACGAAGCGCGCGAGGGGTGCGCCGAGTCGGGTTCGGGCGCGCCACGCGGGCGGTGCTGCCGGGGCCTTCGGGGGAGCGCCCCATGAGGTCACGAGACGAGCGAGGGAGGAGTGTGGCGAGATGGCTGGCACGCGGCGGGCAGAGGCAGGGATGGGAGGAGAAAGGAGGGGGAGGAGGAGAGGAGGAGGGGAGGGAGGAGGAAGGAGGAAGGAACGCGGGGCGCTGTCTCTACAATACCGAGGACCCAACACCACATGATGCTTGGGAACAAGATGGGATCTCGGGGAGGGGCAACCACTTGAAAAATAGGTTACTGCGCAGGGGGGTAAACCATCCCCAGTATGTAAAAATGAATGGTCAAGATCCTTATCATACTCATCATCCGCATCCTCATCCTCACTTTCATCGTCACCATGATCAGCATCAGCCTCAGCATCAGCATGAGCAAAAACATCATCATCATCATCATCATCATCATCATCATCATCATCATCATCATCAGCATCATCATTAGCATCATCATCATCATCATCAGTATCAGCATCAGCATCAGGAAAATAATAATCATCCTCATCAGCATCCTCATCATCAGCATCCCTGGCATCGCCATCGCCATCATCACCAGCATCATCAGTATCATCAACATGATCATCATCAGCATCATCATCATCATCAGCAAACATAATCAACCACAATCACCTTCACCATCACCAACACCATCATCATGATGATGATGATCATCATCATCATCATCGTCATCATCATCATCATCATCATCAGCATCATCATCGTCGTCGGCGGCGGCGGTGTCGTCGTCGTCGTGATCGTCCTGTTCCAAAACCTCGTTATCCTCGTCGTCGTCCTCCTCCTCCTCCTCCTCTTCCTCCTCCTCCTCCTTCTCCTCCCCCCCGTCTCCTCATCACCTCCACCCCACACGCCGCACTCGCATCACTCACCCGCCCTCTCCCCTTGACGTTGCCGTGGCCATGCTGGCTCCAGCGATCGCACGGCGAGGCTGCCACGGGGATGGCGGCGCAGTCCCAAGGGGCTCTGGACCTAGATCTGGGCTGCCTCCCTGGTGGAGGCCGCGATGCTCGGCGCTCCTGGCCCGGGCGCCGCGGCGCTCGGCGATGGCGGCCGTGGCTCGCTCCGCCGTCTCGGCAACGCTCCTCGCGCTGCCGGGGCGAGCCTGGCTGGCCGCGGCTGCCCCGTCGCCGTCGGCAGCTGCGGAGCCCCCCCCCCCGCGCTGCCGGTGCGTCGGCCAAGGCGGCGCTGCGGCGCCGGCGCCAGCGGCCACGCCGCGCGGTGCGGCAGCGCCTCGCGGCGCGGCAGGAGGCGGCCGCCGATGGCTGGCGCCCGCCAGGGGCGGGCGCGGTGCCGGCAGCGGCGGGCTGGAACGGCGGGCGGGGGCCTGCGCCTGCGGCCTCGGCGACGGCGGCCGTTGCCGGCCGGAGTGACTGTGCCGATGGCGGCGGCGCTCCTGCGCCAGCGCGTGTGACGGTGTGCTGCTTCCCTGGGGAGCAGTGCGCGGTGAGGCGCGCACTGCTGCAGCGGGCCGCGGCGCTGGGTCAAGAACTCGAGCAAGCCCCCCCTTCATGGCTTTCGTCCATCTGGTCAGGTCCAAGTCTGGCCCCCCGCTGACATGTCCCCCCCCCTGGCTGGATCCGCGAGCACATAGATGTGCATATACAACAAAAAGCACAGCCCACCGCCATGCACTGAGGCACGAGGCGGAATGTCCTCGGGTCCTTCGAGGCGTCAGTCCGCGATCACAAAAGACGGAAGGGCTGAGACCGCACACTGCCAGATTTCCTGGGGCCGCCTACACGGTGGAGCGTGGTGAGGCCTGTCCACGCGCGACTTGTTGCATCAAGAGGGCTCGAATACAGGCAAGGAGAGCTCCAAAAGCCTCCGAGAAGGTTGAAGAGGGAGGCCCCGTGCCGACCCCAGAGCGCTCCAAGATGCCCAAGATGACCCAAGACAGCCCAGGAGGCCCCTGAGACGCCCTGAGAGGGCTCAGACGCTACAAGAGGCTCCCCAGAGGCTCCCAAGAGGGCCCAAGAAACAACCAAGAAGACGTCCCAAGACGGCCCCCCAAAAGGGCCCCAGAATGGGAACGCGAATCGTCATCTCGAGCCCTCCGTCCCAAGATGGCCCCCCGAGACCGCCAGCAGGGCCCCCAAGACACCGCAAGAAGCTCGAGGAGGCCCCCGAGGGGCTCCGAAGGGGCCTCCAGGAGGCCCGAAGACAACCCGAAACCGCCTCTCGGCGGCGTCCGAAAAGTCCTCCAGGGGAGCTCTATACAGTGGGGGCGCGCATCAAGAAACCGTCTGAGTTTCGTCAAGGTACCCTGGGTTTCTTCGTTCCGCGCGCTGCGCGGTGACTTCCCACGGCCGTCAAAGAAGCTGATTCGTTCGGGATGCTCAGGTTTTCCCCTCAGGTGCATATCGCGCGAGGGCTTCCAGGGTTGGGTCTCTTGCGAGGGATTCTTGCGACCGCGCCCGCACTGTAGGAATCCAAGAGGCCTCTGACCTGCACCCAAGGGCACGGCGGTGGCAAGGGCCGAAGGCCACATTGGCGTGCGTGGGAACTCGGGCACCCGTAGCGTCTTGCGATAATTCCGTGCTCCTCGGCAGGGAGCCGCAGCACGAGAGAGCCATTGTCGTGAAGCCCTGGCGAAGCGCCCAACGCGACTACGGCGCCTCCAGCTAAAAAAAAATGACAGAAAATCCCGTGAAAAAAACAACACTAACAAAAACAACACACACACACACAAAAAAAAATCACGTGTTCAGAATTCCTGGAAGGGCGGGGGGGTGTCGTCTTCTCGCGAAGCCGTGTGTGTGTGTGTGTGTCGTTGTTTGTTGGTTTAGTTGTTTGAAGGTTTTGCAGCCTGGGCTGGCGAGCTTGGTAAGGATTCCACAATAATGAGTATTGTCTTCAAGGTGCTTCAGCAAGGCTGCCGTGCGAAGGATTCCCCATGAAGAAGCGTAATGGAAGAGCCGTTTTGTAGGGATTATTCGAATGATTCCTTCGCAAGGACTCTTTACTGAAAAAGCAGAAACACGGACTCCACAGTGTGGAACTCTTAACAAAGAACCCTCTCAACGTCCATCAAGCTCGTCAACCGAGGCTTCAAACCAATCAATTAAAAAAACAATTACCCCAGTGCGACCCTACCTAGAAATTGGAGCCCCTAGGAAAGCAACATTAGTTGCTATGCTATGATATACCATGCTATGCTGCGCTATGCTATGCTATGCTATGCTGCGCTATGCCATGCTATGCAACGGCGGCAGCGACGACGACAGCGACGACGACGCCGCTCGCCTCTCGCGGGGCCTTCGTATCTTGTAGTGTCTTGTGGTGTCATTTTTCTGTCGAAATTCGTTGATTGAATCGCCTACCGTAGCTTCATGTGTGTCTCCGCGAGGTTGTATGTTGGGACGTGTTTTGGCGCGAGCAAGCTGATTGAAACACGGTCGATCCGGGCCCCTGCAAAAATGGGCGGGAAAACCAATACTCCGAGACACTCGCCGGCGACAGCGCCCCACATCGATCCCCGTCGCGGGGCAGCTGCAGCGCGCCGAAGGCGCTCCAAACCCCGTCGCGGCGCGACAGCAAGGCGAGGTTGACCCCCGTCGGGGGGGTACCCCCCCCCCCACGCTTATTGAGAAACCCAGGAGTCGTCGGGAAAACCAATACCAAGACAAATTCAGCGAGTCCGTACGGTCGGTTCGCGCGGCATCGGCGCGCGCACAGGATTTTGACACCGCGTCGATCGTTCATCCTTGAGTCGATCGCGGCCCCGATCGTTCAAGATTGAATTCAGCTGGGTCCAGTGGCACCGCGTCCCTCGGTGCTTCCGCGTCGCAGAACTCAACCTTGAACGCCTTCGCTGGCGTCGCCAGCGCGCCTTCGCCGCACGTACCTACCGTATTAACTCAACGACCACAATGCGTGAAGGACAGAGCCACTCAGTCAGAGGATCGAACCTGATCGGCCGCTCGAGGTGCCATATCGCTGCCGACCCGCTCGGGCTGCAGAAGAAGAAAGCACCGCCCGATGGGGACCTCCGGAGACACGCAGCCGCGCAGCCTGGAACGATGCCGCATACGATGCCCAGAGCAGAGGCATAGGAGCAGACGGCGCCGATGAAAGAAAGGAAGAGAACGAGAAGCGTGCGCGGGAGGAGGGACAGGAGTAACATAATCGCTTTTGTTTTTTCTTTCTCTCTCTCTCTCTCTATATATATGTATGTATATCTCTCTATTTCTCCCTCTACCCCCTTCTCCGTGGTATTGTTGCTTATTTGTCTTACCTCTCTCTCTCTGTACCCCCCCTCTCGCCCTTTCGAAGCACACGTGCCTGCGACCAATAACGTGGCACTCAACTAAAAAAATCTGACGATGAGACCGTGCTGAAGCCACGTGAGCACAAACACTGCCACTTGATGGGCAGGAGTGGCCAGGCAGACCGGATCTACGACTCCTCATGAAGAGCAGAAGGAGAAAGAAAAACGACATACACATTAACTGCTGGCGCTGCGCGCGGATTTCTTGGATCTGCGCTGGACCCCCCTCCCTGGCGCGCTGATCGCGCCAAGGGCGACGCCGGAGGCGCCGCCGGGAAGGGCCCAGCGCGGATCCAAGAAAGCCGCGCGGCGCGCCTAAAGTTCATGTTTATGGCGTCTTATCCGAAAGAAGGCACGCGCAAACATTCAAACTGCCCGCCTACTGCACCTATCCTGGCCAGGCCAAAAAATCTGATGTTACTAAAAATGCCCCTGGGCCAAGTTGCCCCCAGGATTTCCGGGGTAGCCCAAACGGCCTCAAAAGCGGTTCAAGGGTCGAATCGCCCCCTCTGCGTGTTAAAGGGCTTTGTATTGTGGGAGGTGGAACACATCGTTCGCTTGCTGTTGGCATCGGCGTGGTATACCCGCTATGCTTTTCTTCGGCGCTGCCTCTCACTCCTCTCTCTCTCTTTCTTTCCGCCGCCGTCCGCCCAAACTTCAGCCTAAGCAGAGCCTAAGCCTCAGCCTAGCCCAGCTCAGGCTCCAGCCGAAGTTTAGCCGAAGTCTAGCCTAAGACTCAGATTCAGCCTCTGTCTAGAAGAGGCTCTGCTTCTTCAGCCTGGCCTAAGCCTGGCCTGAGCATCAGCTTCAGCCTCGGCCTCGCCTAAAAATTTAGCCTAAGCGTTACCTGAGCCTGGCCCGAACCCAAACCTAAGCCAAAACTCCAGCCCCTGCCTAGCCTAAGCCTCAGCCTAAGCCAGGCAAGCCTAAATTTCAGTCTAGCCGAAGCATAGCCTGAACCTGACCCAAACCTCAGCCTAAGCCTCAGCTTAAGATAACACCCAGCCTCAGCCTGAGCCTCGGCCTGAGCCTAACCTCAGCCAAAGCCGAGCCTGAGCCTCGCACCCTCGTTGTCATCACAATACGAGGGTATTACTACTACCTCATTACTAGAACAGTTCAACTATCACAGTTTAAGGGTACGACTATGCCTACAACGCAAGTGCTAGTACATTAGCTCGACGATATTAGACAGATCCTACACGATAAAAGTGCCACAAGACCGTGTTCTTCCCACGGCCACCACGACGTTGTTACCACTACTACTGTACCAGAGCACTACTACGACGTCAGTATAATGATATCATGACAGTACGACTGCGGCACTACGCTGGTAGAGCACGGCTCCTGCGGATGCTCCAATGCGGATGCCCCATTGCGACTACTGCCAGTATTTGAGCAATACCAGTACAATGCCAACGTGTCTCTTATGCCATACTACTGCTGGTGTGTTGTATTACGACTATTACAACGTATACTACTACTGTTACAACGTCACCACTACAGCACTACATGTATGATAATACCACAACATGTTTTGCCATGCTGCGGCAGTGGAGCATTTCTATTACAGTATTGCCGGCAATCGTTGAGTGCGACTCTTACGAATCATGTACTCGAGCACTGCTTCTACAGTGCCACTACTACACTAGTGCACGAATGTTCCACAACAGTACAAAACGAGCCCTACAACACTACTGCTGACGCACTCCAGTTCAATGGTATTAATACGATACCCGAGTACGACAGCAGCGGCTTATTTCTATTGCCTACTACTACTACTACTACTACTACTACGACTACGACTACGACTACGACTACGACTACGACTACGACTACGACTACGACTACGACTACGACTACGACTACGACTACTACTACTACTACTACTACTACTACTACTACTACTACTACTACTATTACTACTACTGCTACTACTACTACTACTGCTACTACTACTACTACTACTACTACTACTACTACTACTACTGCTTGGATGACTACTGTGCTGTCAACTCACTGATACAATACCTTCCTGGCTGGGCACGGTCTTATAATACAACTAGTACAATCCTGGGGTAGCACTACTGGCGCACGGCTGCTACAGCACTGTGCTACGACCATAGCAGCGCCACCACTACAACACTACAGTACCAGACTACTACAACAGCGCGGGGTAGGGCATTGGAGTATTCCAACTACAGTACTGTAGTACATTCGGGACAGGCATCAGTAGATCATGATTATATCAAGTACTGTACTAGAGTATTGTTCTACAGTGCCACTACTACAATCGCACAGCACTGCTGCACAACAGTGCAGCACTATTCCTACAGCACTACCGCAAGTGCACAGTTCGGCGGCAACGCTACTTTATTCGAGGAATACAGCAGTGGAGTACCTCGACTATAACACTACAGTGGGACTACTACAGAAAACACTGAAGGGTCTGATCTTTACTGCAAGGCCTGAGTACTACTACTACTACTACTTCTACTACTACTACTACTACTACTACTACTACTACTACTACTACTACTACTACGACTGCTGCTACTACTACTACTACTACTACTACTACTACTACTACTACAGCTACAGGGCCGTTACAATGCTGCCACTTCGTTTATGCAATACGACTACTGGCTGGGCACGGTACTAGAACAACAACTGGTACTGTCCTCCGTCTTTTTTTCCAAGGCACAAGGGGGGAGGAAAAAAGGGGTGCGCGAGGAGGGGGGGCGTGGGAGGCCAGGGCCGCTCCCTTCCTTCCCCGTTGCTGCCGGCGCCTGGTGGGGGGGGCAAAACAAGGGAACAACAACAACAACAGCAACAGCAACAGCAGCAACAACAACAACAACTTGCTTGTTTTGTTCCCCCGCCCAGGCGCAAGCAGCAACGGGGAAGCGCGGAGGATACTCCCCTCCCGCCACACGTGGTCACGAACCAAAGGCAGCGAGGTGCGCAAATCGAGCACACCACCACGCGGCCAACTCAGCTTCGCAAAGCGAGGTAGGTAAACCGAACAAATCGCTGCGGGAAAAAAGAAAGCAGGGCAAAAGGAACAAAAAGAGTTTCGCAGGGGGGCGATTCGACCCCGAAGCCCTCCCAAGCACCCCTCCCGAGGCCCAGAGGGCCCCAGAATGGAGCGAGAAAAGCTGGGGCACCTTGGGCCAGGGGCACTTCTAGCAACACCCGAAAGAGCCTCTGGTGCCCTGGATCTCAGGTGGACCCGCCCGCCTGGCTCGGCCAGACCTGCGTCGGTCTGCACCGATCGTGGCCCCCAAGAGGCCGGCTGCGGCCTGGCCAGGGCACCCGTGGGGCGTGCATGACCAAGGAGGGCCAGAGCGAGGGTCGCGGCCTGCTGGCGAGTCCTCTCCTCCTCCTCCCCCTCCTCCTCGCCGCGGACCGTCCAGTTCCAGCAGTGGGTCGAGAAGCAGGCCGAAGGTGGAGGTGGCGGTCTTAACGCAGTATCCCGTCTGCCCATCGGGTTCGACCCGGGCCCCATCGGCGAAGCTGAGAACGTCGACGGCCTCGGCGACTGCAGGCAGCTGTTCGAGCCCATGGGCCTCGGGCAGCAGGTGACGCAGCTCGAGGTAGCGTGGAGTCGCTGGTGGAGGACATCCTGCGTGCATGCGCTTGCACTGGCCCTCGGACCTGGGCGAGAGGCCGCCGAGGCCCTCAGTCCAGGAGCTGCGTAACGTGCTGCGCTCCTTCAGGGCCACCACGGGCATGTCCTTCTGTGCCGTGGGGCTACGTCAGCTTGATGAGCTATACGACGAGGCGCTGGAGGTCCTCATCGACATCCTGATGGCGATCGAGCGCGACGCCGCTTGGCCGCTCATGACCACCAAGATCTGCTTCATCCAAAAGCGGCTGAGCGGAGCGAGGCCCATCGCCGTCATCATGGTGCTCGCGAGGGTGCAGGCACGACTTCGGCGTGGCCTCGCCCGCAAGTGGGAGGAGGCAAACGATCGCCCATACTGGTTGGCGACGGCAGGCCGCGGACCACGCAGCGGGGCGCTGACAGCGGCGACGCCGAGTCCTGGGTGGCGGTCGCCGTCCTGCTCGACCTGCTCAAGGCGTTCGAGCAGGTAAGGCACCACTGGCTGCTCGACGCTGCCATCACCACTGGCTTCCCGCTGTGGCAGCTCAAGCTGACGCTTGACCTACACTGCGCGCCGAGGGCCCTCTGCATGGGCAGCGCTGCCTCGAGCGTGATCGAGGCGAGGCAGTCCATCCTGCCTGGTGACGGCTTCGCGACCTCGCTGCTGAAGCTCATCCTGATCGGGCCGCTCGACTGCCTGGTCATCCAGCATCCGACCCTGTCGCTGGCGGTGGTCGTGGACGACCTCATGCTCCATCAAGTTGACGGGCTCGTACGGGTGACGAAGGAGGTTGCTGAGGCAGCCTTTAAGCTCACGACGCTACTCATGGACGTGGACCTCGACGTGGCGGTCAAGAAGTCAAGGGCGTTGGCGAACCTCCCAGCTGCTCGCCATGGCCTGGCTGCCCGTCTGCGCCGGCCGCTCGGCGCGATCTCGGTCAAGGGTGAGCGCAACTTGGGCGTTGACTTCTCGTGTGGCAGGCGAATCGTGCGCAAGGTGCGCCAGGGGGCGCGCAAGGTGCGCAAGGTGCGCCAGGGGGAGCTGGTGCAGGCAGGGCTACGTCAACGCCGCGTGACGATCCTCAAGACAGGGGCAGGGCGCAAGAAGGCTGTGCGCAAGGTCGCCAGGGCTGGCATCGAGCCCAGCGTGACCTACGGCGTCACCGTCACTGGCTGCGCCACCATGGAGCTGGACACGCTGCGGACGGAGTCGTTCAAGGCGGTCGCGCCCAGCGTGGCTGGACGGTCGCGCACGCTCACCCTGATGCTGACGCCCATGCTCGACCCGATGATCAGAGCCACGCTCCTGCCCACCATGATGCTGCTGCGGGCGGCCTGGGAAAGCTGGATTCCCCAGCACATCATCGACTACGGCATGACTTGCTGCCAGGCCCAGAGCTGGAGCCAGGTGCGTGGGCCCTTCAGAGCGGTGCGGCTCACCCTCCAGCGGGTCGGTTGGCAGGTGGTCAACGCCACCCTGGCGTACGCACGAAGATGTCGACACCAGTGTCTTCGAGCTGGCCCCATGGATCGTCAGGCGTCTCCTGTTGCGTGCTGTGCAAGCATGGCAATGGCGTGAGATCCGCAAGTGTACTGGGCTCGAGCACCTGGCCAACGGAAGCGTCTTCGAGCCCTTGATTAAGATGACCACCACTGGCGCCGTCAGCCGCAACGGCGTCTTCGGGACACAGCTGCAAGTCACGGAGGCCAAGGACCAGGACCCTGCGCGGCGAGCTGCCGCGTCGGCGCACATGACGCTCGCGAGGAGGCTGAGGGCCTCCACCACGTTCTGGCTCCAGGACGTCTTTGTGTCCTCCTCCTCCCCCTCCCCCCCCTCCTCCACCTCCTCCTCCTCCTTCTCCTCCTCCTCGTTCTCCTCCTCCTGCTCCTCCTCCTCTTCCTCCTCCTCCTCCTACTCCTCCTCCTTCTCCTATTCCTCCTCCTCCTCCTCCTATTCCTATTCCTCCTCCTCCTCCTCCTCCTCGTCCTCCTCCTCCTCCTCTTTATATCCCCCCCCCTCCTCCTCCTCGCTCCTCCTCCTCCCTCCTCCCTCGCTCCTCCTCCTCCGGCCTCCTCCTCCTCCTCCTCCTCCTCTCCTCCTACCTCCTCCTCCTCCTCCTGCGGCGCCTCTCCTCCTCCTCCGCCTCTCCTCGTCCTTCTTCCTCCTCCCCTTCTCCTACTCCTCCTCCTCCTCCGCCTCCTCCTCCCCCCCCCCCCCCCCCCCTCCCCCTCCTCCTCCTCCACCTCCTCTCCTCTCATCAGCATCATCAGTCTCCTCCTCATACTCTTCTCTCCTTCTCCTCCTCGTCCCCCCTCCTCCTCCTAATCCGCCTCCTCCTCCTTCTTTTGTTCCTCCTCCTCCGCCGATTTCCTCCTCCTCTCCTCCTCCTCCGCCATGCCTCATCATCATCATCCTCCTCCGCCTCCTGCTCCTCATCCTGGTTATCTTCTCCTCCTCCTCCGTCCTCCTCCTCACTCCTCCTCATCCGCCTCCTCCTCCTCCTCCTCCTCATATATCCTCCTCCTCTCCGCGCTCATTAATCCTCCTCCTCTCCTCCTTTTCGCTCCTCCTCCTCCTCCTTCATCGCCTACCCTCATCATAGCATCAGCATTCTCCTCCCCCCCTCCTTCTCCTCCTCCTCCTCCTCCTCCCCCTCCTCCTCCTCCTCCTCCTCCTCCTCCTCGCTCCTCCTCCTCCTCCTCCTCCTCCTCCTCCTCCTCCTCCCCCTCCTCTTTTCCGCCTCCCCCCCCCCCCCCCCCCCGCCACCCCCCCCGTTTTCATCTCCTCCCATCCTCATCCTCATCCTCCCTCCTCTCATCCAGTCCTCCATTCCTCCCTCCACCCCTCGCTCTCCCCTCGCCATCCCCTCCCCTCCCCCTCCCTCCCTTCTTGCCCCTCCCCCTCTCCTCCCCCTCCCCCTCCCCCTCCCCTCCCCGCCCCGTCCCCGTCCCGTCCCTTCTCGTTCAACCCCGTGCCGTCCCATCCAGTCCTGTCGTCCCGTCCCGTCCGTTCCCGTCCCTTCCCTCCTCCTCCGCATCCCCTCCCCTCCCCTTCCTTCCCCCCCGCCACCTCTCTCCCTCCATCCCTCTCCTTCATCCCTCCTCCTCCGCCTGTTCCTCCCTCCTCGTCCCTCCTCCTCCCTCTCCTACCGTCAATCCATCATCCTCCTCCTACCTCCCGCATCCCTCCCCCTCCTTTTTACTCCTTCCTCCTCTTTTACTCCTTCCTCCATCCTGTCTCCGTCAACCTCCCCCTCCCTCCCACATTGCCCCTCCTCCTCTTCCCCAAGCCCTCCCGCCTCATTATCCTCCCTCCCGCCCCCCTCCTCCTCCTCCCCTCCTCCGTCCCTCCCTCCTCTCCCCTCCCTCTTCTCGCTCCTCTCTCCGCCCCCCCTCTCCCCCTCGCTCCTCCCCTCCTCCCTCCCCCCTCCCTCCCCCCTCCGCCGTCATCCCTCCTCGCTCCTCACTCCTCCCTCCTCCACTTTCCCCCGTCCCCCATCCTTCCCTCCTCCCTCCTCCCCCATCATGATTCCCTCCTCCCTCGTACCTCCTCCCTCTTCTCTCCTCCCTCCTCCCGCCTCTCCCTCCTCCCCCTCCACAATTACTCACTATGAATACTACTCTCCTCATTCCCCTGATGACGGGTTGGGAGTGTTCGCCCCCCCGCGCACTGTTTTTTACATACAAGATTCCCCGGAGGTGGGTTTTCGCATGCATTGGTTTCAAAATGTTGCTCTCGCTGAGGCGCCGGCCTCATTTTCGGGCCCCGCTCGTTCCGAGTCGTGCTCCCGCTGCAGCGCTGGCCTCATGTCCGTGCTTCCGCTCGTTCCGAATCGTGCTCCCGCTGCAGCGCTGGCCTCATTTCCGCGCTTCCGCTCGTTCCGAATCGTGTTCCCGTTGCAGCGCTGGCGTCATTTCCCGTGCCATGCCACGGCATGCAATGCAATGCTAGGTTGCGTTCCGCTGCGAGATGCCATGCCTTCAGCTGAAGCTGTGATATGCAGTGCTTAAGTGCCACGTCGTGCTATGCCATGATACGCTTTGATCTTCAACGCCATGCTATGCAATGTTATGTTCGGGGCCGCTGTGCGATGCCATGCTTTACGTTGCAAAGCTTTGTGATGCAATTCTTCACTACGCCACGCCACGCCATGCTGTGACATACTACGCTTTGCGGTGCTCTTCTACGCCATGCCATGCTGTGCTCTACAATGCATCGCGTACCCTTTCGGGATCATTGCCCTGCTCGAAATCCGACTGTGCGAGTAGAGAGGGGATCTACGCCATGGGAAGGGATGGGAGGGAGGGGTCGGACGTCAGATATGACGCGAGCGCACCTAGCTTGCCCTCCCCCCCCTCCTCCCCTCCTCCCTCCCCCTCCTCCCCTCCCCCTGTCCCTCCTCTCATTCCTCTCCCTCCTCGCCCTCCTCTCCCTCCTCCCTCATCCTCCCTCATCTCTCTTCTCTCCCTCCTCTCCCTCCTCTCTCTCCTCGCCATCCTCTCCCTCATCTCCCTCCTCTCCCTCATTTCCCTCCTCTCTCTCCTCTCCCTCATTTCTCTCTCCCTCCTCTCCCTCCTTCCACCCCCCTGCTCCTATTCCTCCTCCCTCTCCTCTCCCTCCTCCTCCCATAAGGATGCGCTCGTGGTCCGCTCCGCGCTCCCTCCCTCCCTCCCTCCCTCCTCCCTCCTCACTGCTCCCTGATTCTCTGGCTGCTCGTTGTTTTTTGTTTTGTGTCACCGCTCCCTCATCCATCCACCTCCTCCCTTCCTCCCTCTCCCTCCTCCATGCCTCCCTCCTCCATCCTGTCCTCCTCCCTCCTCCCCCCTACCACCACCTCCCCCCTACCAACTCTCCCCCCCCATCCTCCCCTCGCGCCCTCTCCCGCCCTCCCCTCCCCCCGTCCCCTCTTCCCCCCTCCCCCCTCCGCCCTCGACCCTCCTCCCTCGCCTCCTCCGCTCCTCCCCCTCCTCCTCCCTTGTTCTCCCGTCCTCCTCCTTCTCCCCCGTTCGCCCCTCTCCCATCCCCACATCCTCCCCCGCTCCTCCTCTCTCCCCCTTCCTGCTCTCCCTCCTCCTCCTCCTCCTCCTCCTTCTTCCTCCTCCCTCCTCCTCCTCCGCCTCCTGCCTCCCCTGGCTCCTCACGTCCTCCTCCTCCTCCTCCAGCCTCCTCCTCCTCCAACTCCTCCTCCAATCTCCTCCTCATCCTCCTCCTCCTCCTCCTCCTCATCCTCCTCCTCATCCTCCTGCTCGTCCTCCTACTCCTCCTCCTCATCCTCTTCCTCCTCCTCCTCCTCCTTCTCCTCCTCCTCCTCCTCCTCATCATCACCATCATCACCATCATGAATAGCATTATCATCATCAGCAGCATCATCAGCATCATCATCATCATCAACACCATCACCATCAACATCATAATCAGCATACTATGCATCATCATCAGCAGCATCATCAGCAGCAGCCACATGATCATCAACAGCATCAGCATCAGCAGCAACATCAGCATCATCAGCATCATCATGTTCAGCATCATCAGCATCCTCATCATCATCAGCATGATCGTGATCATGATCACCATCATCATCACCATAAGCATCATCAGCATCAGCATCATAATCATCATCATCGTCATCGTCATCATCAGCATCATCATCATGATCATAATCATGATCATGATCACCATCATCATACGCATCAGCATCAGCATCAGCATCAGCATCATCATCATCATCATCATCATCATCAGTTTCATGTTCATGTTCATGTTCATCATCATCATCATCTTCCTCTACCCCCGCACCCTGAAGGAGAGGGGGGCATGTCCTCTCTGAGTGAGGCCTCCAAGCGCAACTGTCGGTCGGATAGAAGGTCTGCCTTCCCTCCCCTCGACCTTCCTCCCCTCGACCTCGACCGCGGGGATCGTTCAGTTTGAACAATCGGCCGCCTCCGAGAGGTCCGACCGTTCCACACCGAGCGATCCTGGGTCGACGGCGTCCAACGCCTAACCCTTTGTAGAAAGACTGCCTCAGAGGTAAGCCCTTTGGCGCGCCGCCCACGATGCTGTGGAACAGGGGTGAGACAGTGAGGTGCCAGTGCGGCTACACCGGCTGAGACCTTGAGGCAAGAAGCGTTCCGCGGCTAGCATCGGCTACACGCAGGAGTGCCCCTGGGTAAGAGTGGCCTTTGGTGCGCGGCTTCTGGCCGCGGGGGGACCCAACCCAAGCGCGCAAGACGCCACTGTCGCATCGCGTTCGGCGATCGGGGGGCCCGGGTGGGCCCGCACCAAAAGTCGCTCTGGCGAAGGGCCACTCTTATATGTAGTCTCAATAGCAACGCTGCATTTGCACAGGAGCCCCCCGGCACCGACGGCTGGCGGCCCTGGCCTGGGCGCCCAATCCTGGCGGGACTCAATCGGCTGGCGGAGCTGGGTCTCTCCAAAGCCGCCGTGGAGCACACAAAGGTGCGACAGCATTGGCCAAACCCTCTGGAAGCCCCCCCTCCGGAAGAATACCATAACACCCGAGGGACCCACGAACAGGCGCTGTCAGATGGATTCTTGACGTCAGCGCCGCGCGTGCTGGCAAAATGAGGTTGGTTTACGCTCTCGTGCTCCCTGACGCCTACTGCGAAGACCGCCATGCAGACTGCGAGGTGCGCCATGGCTCTGCGGATTATGGAAGATGGTCCCGAGAACACGGTACATCCGCCTCCAGACCGCACAGTGCGGTCGAAGGGGACCGGTAGCGATATCTCTTGATTCGGGGTCGGGGATCCAAGTTACGTTTAGTTACACCATCATCAATCCCCTGAAGACGATCGACCATCCGATCTAGTTTGACACGGCAGCTAACTGCGTGTTATGCCATGCCTATAGGACCACCGTTCACGTGATTCACAGGTCGGCGGTGAGGGGTGCAGCCTTCGGTGTGCTATCTATATGGCGGCCCCGCAACCATGTTATCAATATCACGGAATATCGAACGAAGTCCCGACCGATTGACCCATGAACTATCGACAATGAACATACTGTAGGCCCCACGGACGACCGAAACGGTTATCCGACTACTTACCGCCAGTATTACCCATGCACCGGTATCATGTCAGCCAGCGTGGGCCCCAACCAGTGGGATGTTGCACAGGAGAGGCGAAAGCTGCGTGGAAAAGCTATGTCGTGTGAGATATGCGGTGTGAGCTGAGGGAGTGGAACGTATGCGGCGTAAGCTATGTCGTGCAAGCTGTGTCGTCAAGGTTTGGCGGCGCCAACCAACCCAATACGAATGCAGCGACGACTGCGTGGCCCCGGTTGGCGCACCTCTGTTGCCGCGCTGGCGCGCACACCCTCGCCGGCAGAGCGGCCAGCTGGTTTGGCACAACTGCTACGGCCGCGATGGCGCTTACCGATGGAAACCTCACAGCCCGTCTCAAAGGCCGCGATGTCTCACGGGCACTTCACTGCGGGTCGGTGACTCGGGCGGGCGAGATGTCATGATGACTGTTGCGACGGCGACAACGATGATGATGATCCCACCAGCCCTTCAAGGTTCAGCGGTTTCTCGAGCTTCCTTTTTCCAAGTACCCTTCTTCCCCGGCGGGGAGAGGTTGATCATTTTCCCTATTGATAAACACCCCCTCCCCCAGGCGACTGGTAGCCAACCAGGAACCATGAGGGCACCCCCCCCCCCACCATCCCCGGTAAAAAACCATACACAACACAAGCTGCCTCCAAATTAGGAGCATGCGCGGCCAACCCGATGCGGCCTCCCCCCCTGTCAAAGAACAATACAGAATACACTTGGCGGCGGCGGCGGCTGCGGCGTCTGCGGCGGCGGCGGCTGCGGCGGCTGCGGCGGCGGTGGCGGCGGTGGCGGCGGCGGCGGCGAGGGGCGGCGGGGGCGGCGGGGGCGGGGGCGGCGGCTGCGGCTGCGGCGTCGGCGGCGGCGGCGGTGGCGGTGGCGGCAGCGGCTGCGGCGGCAGCGGCTGCGGCGGCAGCGGCTGCGGCGGCGGCGGCGGCAGCGGCGAAAGCAACGGCGGCGGCGGCGGATTGGCCCCCAGTAGCTGCCCATCCAAAGATGACTGCTGAATATGCTGAGGCTCGGGCAAGACTTGGGTGCTACGTATGTGTTGGGAGGGCGGGTGGGAGTGAGCGAGACGGCTTGCGGGCGGGGAGGGAGTCTTGACCCCTCCCCCTACCCTCTCCCTTGGCCTGGACGGGGCGTTTCGCGAGGTGTCTGAACGTCCAAGATGGCCTCGGCGAAAAGGCCCAAATCACTGATCATACTAAGGTCATGGCCCAATGTTGGCCTCCGGGGGGGGCATATCAAGCACCCCTCCAAGGTGGCCCCAAAATGGCTCCCCAGGCTCACACGAGTGCCTCAAGAAGGCCCCAAGAGGCGCCCAAGAGGCCCCAAGAGCCCCCCAAGATGCTGCCAAGATAACCCCAAATGACTCCCAAGAGACCCCCAGGAGGCCCGAAGATGCTCCCCAAACACGCCCACGACGCTTCAAGAGGCCCCCAAGACCGCCTCGAGACGCCCCTACAAGCCTACAAGAAGCTGTCAAGAGACGTCATGAGAGACTCCGAGAAACATCCAAAACGTATCTTGCCGTTCTGTTCGCCCTCGTCTTCCTCCTCCTCCTCCCTCCTCACCCTCCTCCCTTCTCCTCACGACCGCTACCCTCGAAGCTCCACCCACCCTTCTCATGCCAGGCCTACCTCCTCCCCTCTCCGCCCTTCTTCCCCCCTTCTCGCTCCTCCCCCTCCTCCTCCTCCTCCTCCTCCTCCTCCTCCTCGCTCCTCCTCCTCCTCCTCCTCCTCCTCGCTCCTCCTACCTCCTCCACCTCCTCCTCCTACCTCCTATACATCCTCCTCCTCAACCTCTCCACCATCTCATGCATCATCATCATCATCATCATCAATCATCATCATCCACCTCATCATCATCATCATCATCATCATGCATCATCATCATCATCATCATCATCATCATCATCATCATCATCATCATCATTAAGATCTGATCATCATCATCATCATCATCATCATCATCATCATCATCATCATCATCATCATCATCATCATCAAATCATCATCATCATCAACATCATCATCATCATCAGCATCAGCATCAGCATCATCATCATCATCATCATCATCATCAACATCATCATCATCATCGTCATCATCATCATCATCGTCGCCATCTTCATCATCATCATCAGCATCAGCATCATCATCATCATCAGCATCATCATCATCATCATAATCATCATCATCATCAGTCATCATCATCATCATCATCATCCTCATCCTCATCCTCATCCTCATCCTCATCATCATAATCATCATCATCACCACCAGCATCATCATCATCAGCAACATCAACATCAACATCAGCATCAGCATCCGCATCCGCATCCGCATCCGCATCCGCATCAGCATCATCAGCATCAACATCATCATCATCAGCATCAGCATCATAATCATCATCATCATCATCATCATCAGCATCATCAGCATCACCATCGCCATCACCGTCACCATCATCGTCATCATCGGCATCGCCATGGCTGATTCGCGTCGTGGCCCCATAGGGAGCTCCACCGAAGGCCCCAGTGGGGGGGGGGGGGGGGGGGGCAACATTCGTACTCTCCCGCACCCGAGGACGAGCGTTTCATATAGGGGGGGGGAGCTCCACCGAAGGCCCCAGTGGGGGGGGGGGGCATGCGCCCCCCACGCCCAGGACAGCATTTCATGGCCCCATAGGGAGCTCCACCGAAGGCCCCAGTGGGGGGGGGCAACATGCGGCTCCCACGCCCAGGACAGCGTTTCGTGGCCCCACAGGGAGCTCCACCGAAGGCCCCAGTGGGGGGGGCACATACGCCCCCCACGACCAGGACAGCGTTTCGTGGCCCCACAGGGAGCTCCACCGAAGGCCCCAGTGTGGGGGGGGGGCACATTGCGTCCCCACGCCCAGGACAGCGTTTCGTGGCCCCGTAGGGAGCTCCGCCGAAGGCCCCAGTTGGGGGGGGCACATGCGTCCCCCACGCCCAGGACAGCGCTTCGTGGCCCCATAGGGAACTCCACCGAAGGCCCTGGTGGGTGGGGTGGGGGGGGGGGGAAGGCTCCACCACATGCGCCCCCCACGCCCAGGACAGCGCTTCGTGGCCCCATAGGGAGCTCCACCGAAGGCCCCAGTGGTGGGGGGCACATGCGTCCCCCGCACCCAGGACAGCGCTTCCATGGTGGGGGGCACATGCGTCCCCCGCACCCAGGACAGCGCTTCATGGCCTCATAGGGAGCTCCACCGAAGGCCCCATTGGGGTGGGGGCACATGCGCCCCCCACGCCCAGGACAGCGTTTCGTGGCCGCACATGGAGCTCCACCGAAGGCCCCAGTGTGGGGGGGGGGGGCAAGATGCGGCTCCCACGCCCAGGACAGCGTTTCGTGGCCCCACAGGGAGCTTCACCGAAGGCCCCAGTGGGGGGGGGCCTCATGCGTCCCCCGCGCCCAGGACAGCGTTTCGTGGTCGCACAGGGAGCTCCACCAAACGCTCCAGAGGGGGGTGCCACATGCGTCCCCCGCGCCCACGACAGCGCTTCGTGGCCCCATAGGGAGCTCCACCGAAAACCCCAGTGGGGGGGGGGCGCATGCGTCCCCCACGCCCAGGACAGCGCTCCGTGGCCCCATAGGGAGCTCCACCGCAGGCCCCAGTGGGGGGGGCGCATGCGTCTCCCCCACCCAGGACAGCGTTTCGCAGCCCCCTAAGGAGCCCCACCGAAGTCCCAGTGGCACAGTTCGCATGCGTCTCCCCCACGCAGGACAGCGTTTCTTGGCCCATAGAGAGTACCACCGAATGCGATACGCACAACGCTGGCATTCACAACTGCATATGGTTGGGTCCTTCGCCAGGCTAATTCATGGGCTGGTGGGGTTACGCGAAGCGCCTAGTATAGCGATGGTGATTGCGATGATGGCGATGACGGCGGCAAGGACAATGATGGTGCCGATGCGACAGACCACCATGATGACAATGATGATGATCTTATGTGTCGATGATGGGGGGGACGGCCAGAAAGAGCACGCGCAAACAATCAAGACATCAGGCAACCGCATGATTGAGAAAAACACTTGTTGCAGTCTGCTCTTGGTGAATACACATTGAACAGTAACGAAAGCCAATGGTTTCGGAGCGATTGTGTCACGAACGCACGTAGCGGTGCACGCGCGTGGTCCGCATATTACCCCACGCGGATCCGTGCAACGGGCGCATGCCACATCACAAGAGATGCGACGGGTGGTGAGATGCGAATGCGACTTCTGGACGAACTTGCTGATATCATATGATTTCATAGATTTCAAGATTACGCGCAGGAGGAAAAACCATTCAAATTGTGATGGACAACAGAAAGGCACTGATGCTTGTATGTTGAGATGCCGGATGCACGAATGTGGTTAGTATGGTTTCGACGTGTGTGCGACCGTGGACGCTGTATGATTGTTTGTTGCAAGGGGCTGTTGAAC